TTATCAAAAAATTCATATGCCGTGCTTAATGGGGATTCATACAAGAAATGCAAGTATAGCTCAATATATGCAAATAAATTAAGGCGATTTTTCCACATTAATAAAAATAAACATAAAGATCATAGGATCATATAATTTGATGCAGAGAAAATTTTCATCATGATCCAACATCTATTCATGATCAAAACCCCTAAAGAAAATAGGGTCAGAAGAAATCTTTCTCAGGATAGTAATACAGGAGTTATAATACAGTAGGCAAAGCATTGTCCTTACATATGAATGACTTAGGTTTGATCCCCAGCATACTATATGGTTACTGAGACCTTCAAAGCGTTATACTTCAGCACAGAGGCAGTAGTAAACCCTGAGCACACCTGGGTGTGGCCCCAAACCAAAAACATAAGATAGCAATCACTAATATATAAAATCACACAGTTAACATCATTCTCTTTGACGAAAATTGAAAGCATATTTTCTAAGACCTGACACAAGATAAGAAATGCCCACTGTCTCTACTTTTGTTCAATGTAGTACTAGAAGAACTAGTAGTAGCAATCAGGCAACTAAAGAAACCAAATAACCACTATTTGAAGATGAAATGATAGATAATATGCACTATAATATACCTTTATTATAAGCCTTTAAAGTTTTTAAAAACTCATCAGAATTTCCTATAAATAACTTCCTCGTATCACTCTTATTTCCTGAAGCAGTGTTTTATAGTTTACTTTGTATAGGTCATTCATCTCTTTAGTTAGACTGTTTTCTAGGTAGCTGATTTTCTGCGGCACAGGTGTGAATGGAACTTTTTTTTTGGCTTTACTCTTTTTTAAAAATTTTTATTAGTGAAACACCATAAGGTACAGTTGTAGACTTACAAATTTTTGTGCTTGAGTTTCAGTTATACAATGATCGAATACCCATCCCTCCACCAGTGCGTGAATGGAATTTTTTTAATAAATCTTTTTTCTCTTTCATTATTTGTATATAGGAACGCCATGGACTTTTGGTGGAATTTTGTGTATTGATTTTTGTAACCTGCCACTTTACTATATAAATCTATCATTTTCATGATTTTTTGTAGATTCTCTAGAATTTTTTAAGTATAATATCCTATCATCTGCAAATAGTGAAAACTTATTTACTGCTTTTCCCATCTGGATATCTTTGATATCTTCCTCTTGCCTAACTGCTATGGCAAGTACTTCCAGTACAATATTGAATAGGAGTTGCTAATGTGAGCAAACTTTCTTTAACCTTAGAGTGAATGATTTCAGTTTTCCCCATTGAGAATAATGCTTGCTGTGGGCTGCAGTAAATGATTTCAACTAATGGAAATAAGTTTCTTCAACTCCTATTTTGTTGAGAATTAATGGAGACATATCTCCTACTCATGGACGTTGTCAAAATGACAATACTCCCATTACACAGATACAACACTTAATCATAAGGGTAAAAATAACATTTTTCAAATAAATAGATCCAGAACTCCTGAAATTCATGTGGAACAAAATATCTATACATTCCTAAAGAAATGCTTGAAAAAAAGAAGATGGGAGGCATCACCTGCCCCAAATGGCATGGAATCGGAATAAAATCACATGCCCAGATCAATGAAATAAAGTTGAATACCATGATAACAACCATCAAATATATGACCACTTATTCTTTTTTTGTTTGTTTGTTTTATTAGTGAAACACCATGAGGTACAGTTGTAGACCCACAAGTAGTTGTGCTTGGGTTTCAGTTATACAATGATCGAGTACCCATCCCACCACCAGTGCCCATTCTCCACCCCCACCAATCCCAGTATCCCTCACACACCCCCATCCCCCATCCCACCCTGCCTCTGTGGCAGGGCACTCCCTTTTGTTCTATCTCTCCTTTTGGGTGCTATGGTATGCAGAAGAGACATTGGGTGGCAATCATGTTCGGTCCATAGACTACTTTCAGCAGGCATCTCCCATCCTGGGCAGATCTTCCCAGCACCCTTTATTTGGTGCTCCCTTCTCTACCTGAGCTACCTTTATCCCTAGAGTGTGCGGCTGGCCTCTAAGCCATGGAGTGAACAACCTGGTATTTATCACAGCTGTTCTCGGGTGTTGGTCTCTTATTTTGTTACTTTATGTTACCCAGATGAATGCAATCTTTCTGTGTCTTTCCCTCTCTTTCTGACTCATTTCTCTTAGCACAATATTTTCCATGTAGTACCACTTGAGTATGACCACTTATTCTTGATAAAGGAGCAAAAAATATGAAGTGGAGCAAAAAAAGCACTTTTAAAAGTGATGGTGTAAAAAAAAAAGAACTCAGACCTCTTTCTAAGGCCAGGCACAAAAGTCAAATCAAAATTAATAAAAGACCTCATTATAATACTGAATATATAAGGTACATAGAGAAAAATATAGGTAGAACAATACATTGAAATCAAGGCATTTTTTTAAAATTTTTATTAGTGAGACACCATGAGGTACAGTTGTAGACTTACAAATTTTGTGCTTGGGTTTCAATTATAAAATGATCAAATACCCATCCTCCCACCAGTGCCCATTTCCCACCACCACGGATCCCAGTATCCCTCCCACCCCCACCCCCCCAATCCCACCCTGCCTCTGTGGCAGGGCATTCCCCTCTGTTCTCTCTCTCCTTTTGGGTGTTGTGGTTTGCAAAAGAGGCATTGAGTGGCAATCATGTTTGGCAATCAAATTCTTTTACTATTATTTTTTGATTTTTTTCTTTTTCATTTTCCTGACTAATTACTGGAATGATTCAAAGTTTAGTTAATTTTTTTAATGCTCACTGAATTTTATCAATACCCACTCTCTTCATGATATTAACATTACATGGTTCTAAGCATCTTTTATATGATTCTAAAGGTTTATTACACTGATACATTAAACTCAGTATATTAGACTCAGTTTAATTAAATGTTTTTTATTATCATAAAATTGTGCATATATTTATATAGGGCAACTCAAACTCAGTACATAGTACTGAGTACATAGTACATAGTACATAGGCCAAAGTACATAGGCCTCCTAATTTACTTCCCTCCATATTTTTCAAATCTCTATTATCAAATTACTCTTTTAAAAAAAGTTAATAAAACTAAAAACTTAGTGATATTTATTTTTTGTTTCTTTCATATTCCATGCCAAATATATTTTTTCATCTCTTTAAAAAATATTTAATGGAATGACTTGTCTTTTACTAAACATACCATTCTGGATTGTTCTACCATTAATACTTTACCCTGATTAGTGTAGTAGCCTTTTTCCTGACCTTCCTGCCCATGTCTTTATTTATTCTCACTATGATTCCAATAAGATAGATCAATCTTCTCATTTTGTTGCTCAAAATTCTTTACTAATACTCTACCATAGAAAAAAATCACAATCCTAAAAATGACCTAAGTGATTATTGGCTCCCTCCTGATGTTTATGTTTATAATACTATCTTCTGCAATTATTTTACAGACTCATTCAAAGAACAACTGACAACTTTGCTTTCAGGTATAGTTAATTTATGTTTCTTTCTTCCCTTCCCTCCCTTTCTTCATTCCTCTCTTCCTCCCTTCCCCCATACACTTCCCCCTTCGCCCTTCCTCCCTTCCTCCTTTCCTCCTTACCTCCCTCCCTCCTTCCCTCTCTTTTTCCCTTCCTTCCTTCCTTCCTTCCTTCCTTCCTTCCTTCCTTCCTTCCTTCCTTCCTTCTTTTTTTCTGATTCTACAATATGGTAGACTATAAGCTACATCAAATTACAGAAAATTTTGTAATTTTTTCCACAGTGTCCATAGTATAGAGATTCTCAATAAACATTTATAAAATGAACCCCTAAATAAATAATGTGGTCTAAATATTTATTAGAAATTATGTCTATTCCATAGACATCCTCTGTACTGGCAGAGGGACAAAGTCACGCGGGTTCTGGGGCCGAGATCTCCAAGCCTACTCGGATTTGGGCCGAGCATCCTCCACCCAGATCCTCCAAATTCCAGTAGGCGGGGGTCACACCCACCAACTGGCCCCCTGGTGCCGTGTAATCCCATCAGCGGCCAAGACTCAGAGACTATAAAAACCAGCTCCCGGAACCGTGCGGCCGCAAATGCGACATCTTATTATCTCATTCCTACTTTGGACAAACTGGCAGGTTACCGAATGTAGCCTGCCCACAGGGCAGAGTCTGACAAACTCCCCTTGGCGTACCCAATATGCCAAATACCAGTAACAATGATGGGTCTCATTCTCCTAAAGAGCCTTGAATATAATCTCAGGGCTAGGATGAAGGAGACGTTACTGGGGCCTGCTCGAGGCAATCGACGAATAACAGGATGATTTGTGATTTGTGATTTGTGATGTCTATTCCAAGATTTATCACTTTAAATAAACTTTTTATGCCCAACATCAAAATACTCATGTTTTATTTTTAGTTCTTTAGTTTTTGTGTGTTGGTTCCATACCTAGTTCTCAGGTATAGAAAAATATGCATTTTGTTGTTACTTAAGGCTTTGCACTCAGGAATTACTTCTGATGGTACTCATGAGACCATATAATGCAGGGAAGTGAATCTCCGTGGGTTGCATGTGAGGCAAATCACCTACTTGCTGTACTATCACTATAACCCCCAATCACCTATTGTATGATAAAAAGGTAAATATAATATCCAATATGAGTGAAATAAATGGAACACAGTATTTGATTAAAGGAATTACAAATTCAAAGAGCCTGGAAAGCAATTGACAGTTTCATTTAGTCTAACATTTTCTTTTTTGTATTTGGAAAATTAATCAATGACAACTTGCATCTTAAAACCTTGTCTAAAATCCACATTTTCAAAGATTAATTGAGTATATACACTGTAGAATAAAATTGTACTATGGATTGGTTACATTGAAATTCTTATATGAGATTTTTATTCTTTTTTATATTTTCCATAAAAAGCCATGTTCTTCATATTTTTTTGGTTTCAGGTCATTTTCTGGATCAAATTTATTTCCATTGAACAGCAAAGGTTTTTCCAAGATTTAACTTGAGATTATTAATTGTGAGACTCTAAAGAAAGGAAAAAAATAAAGATTATTTACCATTATACATTTAAAACTTGCTCAACATTTATACATATCAACAACCAGAGTAATTCTTAAAATAATTATTAGTTTTAATATAATATAACCCAGGTTAAATCCCTGCATCCCAAACAGTTAGACAGAATAAAGGAATAAAAATATCATACCTCATAAATGACTAGACTTGCAAAGAAAAACTTAGAAAAATTGCAGAATATAAACGTAAAGCACTGTCTTAAAATATTTACATGAATTCAGTTATCAATTATGTTATTTAGTGCTCATGAATCTTTGGAGAAACCACCTACCCTCTATTTACTTTCTGAAAGCTGGGATTGAGGACCCCTACCAACGGGATGACAGTGCTACAGTGCTACCAAGTGGATGCTAGACAGAGTGAATGCAAACTTTAATCAGTACAATAGGACACTACAGGATACTTAGAAAAATACCTGGGGCATACTACAGGTATTTTTAAAATAATATTATCAGATATGAAACCATAGTACATGGGGTAGGGTGTTTGCCTTGCACGCAGTTGACCCAGGTTAAATCCCTGGCATCCCATACAGTTTTCCGAGGACTACCAGTAGTAATTCCTAAATGCAGAGCCAGGAGTAATTCCTGAATATCTCTGGGTGTGACCACAAAAAAAAAGCAGTATCAAGGAAATATAGAGAGTTTTTATATAAAATATAGAGAGACTTAATAGGAACATCCACAGCAGTGCTCAGTAAGGAATTAGGAATAATTCCTAGAAATACTCAACTCAGCATGTGGGTTTGATGGTATTGTGCTCAGATCTATATATAAGGTACTGTTAGGGCTGATGGTGGCTGGGCCACTAGAGTCACATAGGCAGTGCAGGAAGATGAGAGACTATATGGTGTCTGGGATAAAATTTTCAAGTATAACATAGTATTCCACACTTTGCTCTATCTTCTTAACTATGTGCAAACAATTTGAAGAGCATTAGAGAGGATATAAAATGGTATTGCACATGGGAATTATGAAATTGAATATGTTTTAATATACAAATACATAGACTATTGGAAATTTGCAAAAATATATACTTATTGCTTATATATCAGGAGAAATATGGATAAATATATCCCATATTTTCATTGAATATTGATTTTTATACATATTTATATAATACTTTATTATTATACATTGAGGAATAAAAATTTATATGAAGATATTTCTAAAATTGAAAGGTGAATATACTAGTTCCTCTGTGAATATCTGCATAAGTATAAAAAATAGAAATCACTGTATATCTGTATCTATCTGTATCACTGTCATCCTGTTGTTTGTCAATTTTCTTGGGCAGGTACCAGTAACAACTCTATTCGTCACAGCCCTGAGATTTTAGCAGCCTCTCTTTACTCGTCTTTCCCAATGATTGGAGGCTCCTTCAGGGCCAGGGGAATGAGACCCGTTATAGTTACTGGTTTTGGCATATCGAATACGACACGGGTAGCTTGCCGGACTCTGACTGCATGGGCAGGACACTCTCGGTAGCTTATATATATATATATATATATATATATATATATATATATATATATTTCTCTATGATTTGTTGCCTACTGTCTAAAATCCATCAAACATGGTGTGGTAAAAATATGGACAATGGGTAGGAAGTGTGCCATGATGTGTCTGGAAAGCAGCCTGGAGCATGCAGCGGTTGGGTAGTGGAAGTTGGCTGCCGGGGCTGGATCCATTGGGGTGGGGAGGGCTCTCACCTGCCCCCCTTTGGGGCGCCCCAAGTGGAAACAGCCTGGCGCTGAAATAAAACTGGAAATTCTAAAACCCAATTAATGCATTTTGTGATTATATATTACTAACTTTGCTAATTATATATTTCTAAGTTGATAACACTACATCTATATTAACTGTAATATAATTTGTATTATATTATGGTACTAGGAATATATACTATATATTAAATGAAAATGTTTAACCAATGTATTTTTAGAAACTGGTAAGGGAACATTTCTAGGCTAGGGTTTGTAGATATTTAGCTAATATTCTGTAGCTCAATTCTAATTTGTTTGTATTGCCTTTACCAATAATTTAGTATTTTGTGAATAAAAATTTGAAATAATATTCTTTTTGGAAGCCTCCAAGTGGTATACAGTATATTTGGGGGTCCTCCTACTGTTTCTCAGAAAAACTTAATACTCAAGCTCTGTGTTGCTGAGCCACCCTCAGAGCCCAGGAGCCTCCACGCTTCTTCTGGTGATGACCTGGGCCACGTAGTGTTGGGGACTGAATCAGAGATGACTACGTGCATAGCATGTACCTTTACCACTGTACAATATGGTCCCATGAAGAAAATAAAATGCCAATCACAATGATAATGATGCTTTAAATTATTTTAAAATATCCTTTTAAAATAGTTAACTTATTTCCACAAGCAAAATTATGATTTAACTATTACATTTTACAGGGAATAATCACAGATTATTTTTTAATCTCTATACATACTACATAGCTAAATTTGTGCCCTTTTCTGCAATATTTTTCCCCATGGAAATACACCTATTAAGAGAGTAATTATAAAACAAGAAATACTCTATAAGGAATAGAAAATATTAACCAAAAATATTGAAGGTAAAATATACAATAAGGATTCTGAGACTAGTAAGCGTTTGTAAAAGCAAGGAGAATGACTGAAAAATAATTATATTAATAGCTTAAAAACATTAAATGAAAATCTAAGTCATTAAGAATCTGTGTTTTATACAAGTAAGTAGATTTTGGGGAAGAAGATATTAAATATAGAACATTTAGGCTGTTTTACATAATTTTATCCAGGATAAAATAAGACAGAGAGGAAGAATGAGTCTATTGCTGTCAAACTAATTGGAACGATGACCTTAAATCTAGTATTAAAGTACTATAAAATAGAAAAGAATGATATAGTCTCAAAAGTAAAACACTTAATCTAGAATCTGAATGGCTATATAATGTTAAGTGCTATAGAATTCTAGTTAAATATGTTAAAATATTATATTTACCTGATTGGAAGTATCATAAGTAAAACTGGTATGGGGACTTGATTGGCTATTTTCCACCACTTCAATTTGTGTAACGCTGTTTGTCAAACCAAGGATTTTAATAGTCTGAAATGCTAAAACCGTTCCTTCCTGATATGATGAATGTGTACATGTAATGTCTAATGTGTTCTGAAAAAAAATACATGTTTTAATAGTAAGCAGAAAACCATTGAATACAAACCATTGGATACAATAGCAACAGTGGTGAAAATTAAAAACAACCAAATTATATATTCTGCCATATGTAGGAGCACTTCACACCTAAGTACATATATAAACAACTCATTAGATAACTCTTTTTAAAGAGTTTTTGAAAATTTTGTATATATGCCAAGAATTTTTCAGAGCCAGTTTAAATTTTCATGTAAAGCCCATAAGGTAGTAACCCAAATGTCCAGCAACAAAGCAATGATAAAAAATTGTGACATCTACATCTATGTGTATATATGCACACATATATATATAAATAAGACATATAAATGAGAAATACAGACTTCTCATTTAAGTAATACCTTTGTTTTTATAAAAACAAAATGGTCAAGAAATGAACCTTCTATAAAAATAATCACCATTACTTACTTGAAAATTAGCATTGTACAGATTTTTATTCCCATATCAAATTCATGCAAATTTTTCTGTGACATATTAAAATTTTTCAAAAATGTTATTGTATTCCTAGAACTTCTTACTTATACATAACATAGCACTTATTTTAAGAATTATAAAGGGGGCTTGAGTGATTCCTCAGCGGGTAGGGCATTTGCTTTGCACGTGGCCAACCAGGGTTCAATTCCTAGCATCCCATATGGTCCCTGAGCACCACCAGGAGTAATTCCTGAGTACAAAGCCAGGAGTAACCCCAGTGCATCACCCGGTGTGCCCCAAAAAGCCAAAAAAAAAGAATTATAAATATTTAATGAATCAATTTTATCAGAAGGGAATCCCTTTATATATTTTAAATGTAGCAAATAAGATAATTAAAAATGTTACTGTAGTAAGTCACTTAATTTTAATAGAAAATATGGCGATAATATTACAAAAATTAAAATCTATAATAAAAAAGTACCATTTTTAATGGTGTAGCTAAAGAGAATACTTACATTTGAAACAGAAAATGTATAAAATATATAGTTGCCACGTTCTATGGAATCTGTAATGGTAAGAAAAAATAAAGTTATCAGATTAATAAGTAATGGTAAATTGTCTTGCTACTTTTTAAGTTACAAAATACAAAGTTTATTTGGTATTTTATTCTTCCAATAAATAAACATATTAAATATTTTGCATAGTAAATTTCTTCAAAGCCGTCATATATATCTTATATATCTATGTGAGATATTTATATAATATATCTATATGATATATACATATATATCACATAATTATTGTTTCTGGATATGTGGGATAAAGGAATCCTCATTTATTGTTGTTGAGAATGTCAACTTCTCCATTCTCTATGAAAATATTATAGAAATATCTCATAAAAAGTAAGAATAAAGCTTGATTTGACCCAGGTATCCCACTTCTTAGAGTCTAGCCCCTCTCCCCTGCAAACTCAAAAACATTTGATAAAAGACATGTGCACATCAATGCTCACTTCAGCTTTTAGTAGAAAAGCCTGGATAAGGTAGCAACCCAAATGTCCAACAATAGAGGAATTATAAAAAACTGACATATATATGTAATTATGTATATATATAAATAATACATATAAATACTAGGTTGTTGCATAGTATGCATATACATGTATATGTATATAACACACATGTATATAAGCACTATGCAGCCATAAGAAAAAAGTTTGCAGCATTGTGGATATCATGCTGATCAAATAAATCTGAAGAAGAATGACCAATACAGATGATATCATTCATCTGTCATATACATAAAAATCAAGTTTATTGGCAATATAAACCAATAATAAGCCTTGAACTAGAGAGCTGAGCATGCTGGGGTGGTGGTGGGGTGTGAGAAGAACTAATAGATTGAAATTAACATGGAACATAGACAAAAGGTGGAGAGCACATGGATGGTGCAAATATATAACTGTGCAACTAAACCATAATTGCCAATCAAAAAAATGGGGATATTGGAGGGAGAGAATCAAAATCAGACAAGATATGTCTTTCATAGAATGGGTGGAAGGGCATATACTTTGGTTGTGTGCGAGAAAACTGAATCAGTATCATAAACTTGAATGCTATTGTAACCCCAAGGTATAATGACAACATTTTAAATTCAATTCTTAGGGAAAAATTTAAATCTAGATAGAATGTAACTTGTTTCTTCCAAATTTAAAGTTATATAAATAGATAGATGCTATACTACATCACTGATTAGTCCTATGTCAATATTTTAAACATTTTTGTATGAAAAAATTATTAATCTAAATTTCAAAACTTGATATAAACTTGGAAATAGTTTGTAAGTAAATCTTTGAAATTAATGCCACATCCCACCATTAGAGATACTGTATCTACAAAATTGTTCAATTGACAAATAATTTAGCTTTTCTGATATACACCCTTACAGATCTTCAATGTAGTAAATTGTCATTAAGTATTCTTATGCACAAGATCCCCAATGTACGCTTACATTATTGAGAATCTGAGAAAAAGCAAAGCTAATGAGCAAGGGAAAGCAGAGGGTCACTGCACATCAGAGAGCATGCGACCATGGTGGGAAAGACAAGGTCTGCTCATGAAAAATAACATGAGCAATCAATGACAGGATTTTTTTTCCTTTGGTCTTCTTTTGTTTTCCTTTTCCTTTTCTTTTGTTTTCGTGTGTGTGTGTGTGTGTGTGTGTGTGTGTGTGTGTGTGTGTGTGTGTGTGTGTGTGTGATTCACATCCAGTTGTGCTCAGAGCTTATTCCTGATTCTGTAATCAAGGGCTGGAGCAATAGTACAGTGGTAGGGCATTTGCCTTGTGCGCAGCCAGCCCAGCTGAGCCCCGTTCGATTCCTCCGCCCCTCTTGGAGAGCCCGGCAAGCTACCGAGAGTATCTCGCCCTCATAGCAAAGCCTGGCAAGCTACCCATGGCCTATTCAATATGACAAACACAGTAACAACAAGTCTCAAAATGGAGACGTCACTGGGCCCACTTGAGCAAATCGATAAACAACAGGAGGACAGACAGACAGACAGACTGTAATCAAGGATCATTCTTCTAGTGGGATTCTGGGGAGCGCACAGGGTACAGGGGATCCAATGCCAGTTTGCAAGTACCCATTTACTATACTATTTTAAACAAAGCTCCAACCAATAATATTAAGGAGGGTGAACCACTTTGGGTAATATTGCTTTATAAGATGTACTGTAAGTAGAATAAGAGAGAAAATTATAGAGGTATAGAATAATAAACTAGTTAAGGAATTATCAAAATCCTTAAAATTGAAAATTGAGGGGCCAGAGTAATAGTACAGCAGGTAAGAAATTTTCCTTGTACTTTACCGACATGGGTTCAATACCCAAGACCCCATATAGTTCTCTGAGTTCCACCAGATGTGATCCCTGAGAACAGAGCCAGTGGTAAGTCCTGAGCACTACTCTGGGTGTGGGGAAAATAAGAGAAAGAAAGAAAGAAAGAAAGAAAGAAAGAAAGAAAGAAAGAAAGAAGGAAGGAAGGAAGGAAGGAAGGAAGGAAGGAAGGAAGGAAGGAAGGAAGGAAGGAAGGAAGGAAATCAGAGTCTGCAAGAGAGAGGAAGAGTCAGAAATAGAAAGTGAGGGAAGAAGGGGAGGGGGAGGAAAGGAGGAAGGGAAGAGGAGAGAGAAAGAGAAATAAAGGAAGAAAGGGAGAGAGACAACAGTGGTGAAGCTGATAAGATAATAAAGATCAAATTAGACCAAGAGAACCCTAAGGTTGTGAAAGAGAAAATTAATGTCTTCACCACTTCTAAATAAAATTAATTTGATCTGACAAGATGAGAGAAAGACTGAATATCTGCGCATAGACTATTCCTTGTGTTAATGATATCTGGCTGCTTTATGTTTTCCAGATACATAGAATATTAATCTGAGTAGTGAGCAAAAAATAGAGGCTAAGCTATAATTTTGTGTTAACTACATGTGTACCGAAGAGATTTCAAGTAAAAGATACATTTTCTAAGAGATATGAGATAAAGATTCAGTGATTAAATTTAAACAAATAAATGAGGTTAAGTTTAAGTGACTAAATTTAAGTGATTAAAATTAATTTACTTAGCTACTTTTATTATAACATAACTGCTTATTCTTATTGTTAGAATTCATTTTTGTGTTGAGTTCTCAAGCTTAGGGCTCATGGAAGAAATTTAGAAATAATTGTCACTGTCCTCCCGTTATTCATCGATTTGCTCGAGTGGGCCCAGTAACGTCTCCATTGGAGACTTTGTTGTTACTGTGTTTGGCAAATCGAATATGTCACGGGGAGCTTGCCAGGCTCTGCCGTGTGAGCGAGATACTCTCGGTAGCTTGCCGGGCTCCCCGAGAGGGGCGGAGGAACCGAACTCGGGTCGGCCATGTTGGCTGTGTGCAAGGCAAATGCCCTACTGCTGTGCATTTTATTTCAAATAATTTAGACTTTACAAAAATAAAATTAAATTTTGGACCTATAAAAGAGTTATTACTATTCCTTTGAATTTATCATTATATTTATTGATCGATTTTGGTTTGGGACCCACACCCAACTGAGTTCAGTGCTTACTCTTGGCTCTGCACTCTCAGTAGTGATCATTTCTTGTGAGTTAGGTGGATCAAAAGGGATTCTGCTGCGAGCAATGCAGTACTCTACCTGCTGTATTTCCGCTCCAATCCTGAATTCAATGCTTTAATAAAAATAACTTAGTAAAATACCTATACTTGGAGCTGGGTTGATAGTACAGTATGCTTTCCTTGCACGCAACTGAAAAAAATTGATTATCAAGACTCCACATGGTCTGAGCACCACCAGGAGAGAGTTCTGAGCATAAACCCAGGATTAAGCCTGAGCATTGTCAGGTATGAATACTAAAACAGACACACACAAAAAAACTATACTTGTTAAAGTTTTTACAATGAACCAATAAATATAAGTATATGCAACTTAAGCAAACTGTGAAATGTTTTAAAGGAATCCAAAATAAAACACATCTTTAGAAACCAAAGTTTTTTTTTAAAATCCATGACATTTTTTAAGCAAATTTATATCAATGAAGGCAATTTTCCATCATTGATATTAGAATTTTAAAGCACATAGCTTTGAGACATACCTTTAGACTCTCCATCATCCCAGAAAAAGTCTCCTTTTGCTGTATTGTCATCAGCTAATGCAATGATCAGTCCTAAAGGATTCTTTCGGCTGTTAAAGTAAATTCGGTTGCATATTACATTAAAAATATATTTATAAGATGTGAATCCTATAACTTCATTTTAATTTATAAAGATTTTAAAACTGCATTCACATTAGATAATTGATATTAATAAAACTTTAATAAAATTCAGGTTTATAATTATTAATAAAGCGATATAACACAGGTATAGAACATTACTGGTAGAACTAAGAATAGAAATACAATACTGAATTTTTCAAGGATAGTATACAAAAATATTTTAAGTTTTGATAATAAATGTATTTCATGTAAGAAAACGAAAATATATTTTATGAATTCTCAAAGAAATATGAATTTTTGTACATAAATTAACCCTAAACTGCAATGTATCATGCTCAAATACTACATATCGCAAATAATGCAATGAACAGTGAGATATTTAAAATGCTCGGTGAAATCTTAAATAATCTTATGTACATAATTCAGTCGTGAAAACGAAATGCCATTTAAAAAAAGAAAATTTGATGTGACTAAGCAGGTGTATTTTTTCAGTTATATACTTCTATAGAACATTAAGCCTAAAATGATACTACTTGACTCTACAGTCCAGACTATTACTTCATAAAGAATTTATTTTCTCCAAGTTTTACTCAACAAAATCATACATTTAGTTTGCTCAAAAAAGAAACAGAAAACAAGTATTTTTTTAAAGAACAATCATCACATTTAAAAGAAAAAATACTAAAGTATCAAAAATGAATTACTATAATGCAAAATGATTCATTCCAACAAATATTTAGAGTGGTCATTATAGGTCAAACAGAACTATTGGGGGGACTAAATTTAAATTACTGTCTTAAGTGTATATTTCCAGCACTAAATTCCAGTACTTGGAAGAAAATATAAGTAGCTTAATTATAGTCTCAGTGTTTTTTTCTTTGTTTTCTTACTGAACAACTTTGTTTCTATCTTTACTAAGTATAATTTATCATCATTATCAATTTAAATTAAACAAGAGAATAAGAATCTATGTATTGAAAATACAAAATGCTTAACAACTAATTTAACTTTATCAAGTAGGAAAACTTATTTTAGTATTTCATATTTCATTAACAATGAGGATCTTATCATACATGCTCACTACAGATTTTCAATTTAATTTTGGCAGAGGAAGCATTTTACAATTATCCTTATTTCTTTAATTATGAAGATGTAATTCATGATATTTTGATTTCATCGGGGAGGGGACTCTGACAGTGATCAGGAGGGTCTAGAAACTATTCCCAGAGACACTTGACATGGTTGAGTTGGACTGTGGTCAGTTCTCAGGCCCAACACAAGGTGCTGCCCGGGCCCAGAGATACTGTAAAACACCAGGGCTAAATCTGTGGTGCTCAGAGGACAAACACTACAAAGGATCAAACTTACAGTCTAAGACACACAAGTCAGTCTACTAACAATGTCCCCAACTACTTGATTTTTTTTGTAATGTAATGCTTATAGTTAATAATTCCCTCCATATATGAGTTATATTCTAGTAAAATTATCTTTGATTCTTTAAAATATTAAAATAATGTTAAAGTTTGGAGATTGAAGAGATAGTACGATGGGCAGGATGCTTATAAGGAACCCACTGGGTCTGATCTCAGGAAACCCATATACCCTGAATGCAGAGACAGGATTAAGCCCTGAAGACTGCCAGGTTGGCCTAAACTCATTTCCTCATCTCCCACAAAAATTAAAGTTTGATTTATAGCATTGCATTTTATATAAATCAAATTTTAAATACTACTTTATATAATCACTAATTCAAAAATTATGCACTATTAAAGTGAATTATATTTTATATTTCTGTTAGTGATCTTTTACCTTTCCACTGTAGTGACAGCAGGTTCTTGAGTGGGAATAATATAACCACCTCGAAGATGTAATCCTATTTTATCTCCTGGAAGATCCATATCAACACGTTGTTTTCTCCAGGGTCGTTTTATACCCTAATATAAAAAGTCAAAATATTGTTTTGTTATTAGTAACTTTAGTACTTTTTCAAACAATTAGTAATATTTCAAACAAATAGTTTTTTATTGTGAGCAATTATTGTCAGCCTAATTAATAGTATTGTGGTATTCTAACTTATAGTTAACCTTTTCAGTACATTGAAGAAGCTGTAGAAAATAAACTCTGGAGCAAGAGGGTGCTTGTCTTATACACAACTGTCTAGGTTTGATGCCTTGCACCCTATATGTTTCAGCGCAGCCAGGAGTGATCTCTGAGCACAGAGCCAGGAGTAAACATTGAACATCTCCACAAGCAGTTCAAAAACAATTTTTTAAGTAAACCGTAAAATGCAAAGACAAATTATTTTTCTATTCAAATCATATATAATATACTCATTTAGTTCTATTTTCCAGTTTATAACTTTAGTTTAAATTTAAACATGTATTAAAAAATGTATAAGCCACTTTTTCTAAAACTAGCTATGTTGTATAGTGGAGACTCACATTTTGCGTGTATATGTCAACCTTATTTTGATATCTGCTAATTAAACAAGTGTATTTTCCTGTAAAATGCCTCATAAATATAATATTCTTTTAAAAAGTATTGTCAGATTTTAAAAGTATGGCATGTATGAATGCTGATATCTTGTTATTTTTAGATAACAATAAAGTGTTTTCAATGTAATCTATAAAGCAAGTACATAATATTCAGTAATTATTTCTTTCAATGACTAATAATGAAAACATATAAATATGATTCCTAAAATTCTCCCAGATGTTTTATTTTGACAATTTAAAAGCAACAAATATATTTATACTAAAGAATAAGCTCACATAAATCACATGTAACACAAGTATACTTGTATACAGATCTCAAATTTGTAATTATCCATATAACAATTTGGAGTTTTTCAAAAAACAATAGTAGACATACTTGAAATAAATTTGCTGTATATTGTAGCCGAGTTTACATGTACGGATATCTTACAAAATAAAAATTTTAAGTCTATTTTTATCAGAATTACTTACAGTTTCATAATCATACCAAGTGGCATCAGGTATATATGCACTCACTTTCACTGCTCCCTGAAACAGCACAGGATAATATATAAATTGAATAAACAGACATATGCTTATATATGTATATAGATTCAATCACGGTCACTGTCATGGTCCTCCCGTTGTTCATCAATTTGCTCGAGCGGGCCCAGTAACGTCTCCATCGTGAGACTTGTTGATACTGTGTTTGGCATATCGAATACAACACGGGCAGCTTGACAGGCTCTGCCGTGATGGATTCAATACTAAACTAAAATTTCATGTGAGATATTAATTTAGACTTTCATTGTATTTTTTGTATTTTTACACTTTCATATAAATTATATTCAAACTTAAAATTTATTAGATAATGTAATGAGTTTTGTCTATAATAAGGGATAATATTGTAATGTAAAATATAAAGAACAGGCAAAGGTGAAAGTTGATTGTCATCAAATATATGAGGATTCATTTTCTAAAATACTAATATGTATTTTCTTCTTCCTAACTTTATATTATTTATTTGAAAAGCATAAATCTCTATAAAATCTTTGTATATTTTCAATTTTATCATTCTTTAATAATTCAAGCTGCCATTTACTTTATGAAATATTCTTTTTAGTTAACTGTTAACTAATTTGTAATTAAGATAAATTTGAATATATGAAGTTCCTTCTATGCAACAAACAAATAGAATTAAAATTTTAATCCTACCTGTCTCAAGACAGGGGTAATAAGTAATGCTGGGCCCCATAAGAACTGAAGGTCCTCAATCCAGCTATTTTTATCCTGATAAAATCTAAGAACAATTACAACGTTTAAAAGACGTTAGTTTATTGAAATCTCTGATTTACTGTACCATTTTAATTTTTCTGTTATCCTTAGATTTAATTTTATTTGGTATGAAATTTTGAACCTATAATTTTACATATATAAAAATACATGTTTTATATATAATATACAAAAATATATGTATATTTTAGAACTAGGAATAGAACACAGAAGCTCACAGAAGAAAAGTCACGTCTTTGTTGCCTAGTTCTTGTTTATTAGGCTTTTCTGATAAAAGACAGGAGAGGGAAAGATGGAAGGAAGAGAGGGAAGAAGAAAATAGGGAGGAAAATGGAAAATAAACTGGTTATCTTTATAGTTAATTATAGATTAATTATAGATTAATCTTTAATAAAAACTATTATGGTCAATTTGTAGTCTCAAAAAGTTTCAGAAATATCTTTTACTTTCTTCCATTTAAGTATTTTTATAAAAAATTTCCATTTTAACTTGTATTTGAAACAGTCTTCTAACTAGTCTTCCTGAGGGAAGATTCAATTCTCATACAGACTTGCAAAGACACAATATAATTTATTTGGTTTCACCTATACTTATTATATTTTTATAATATGGATGATATATTTTCAATCATTCTATATTTTATATTTCTTAATTATATAATTGCCCTAATAAAGTCTATGATTTTCATTTTTAAAGATTTATTAAATTGCACCATTTCTAACTTAATCTTATGCAATCTACCACATAAGCTTTACTTTCATTCTAGAGCATATAAAATTCATGTATACAAATGTGGAAACAAGTCACAGAAATCTACTTGATGTTTTAATTTAACTCCACTAACTTCTCTGTATATTTAAATGTAATTAAAGATTTATTATTAAAAACTCTGAACATAGTACTCACTCATAAAGAAATGGTCTTGCTACTGTTTCTCCAAAAACATGTGCTTTATAAAGCAAAGTATAAAGGAAAGGCAATAAGGTATAGCGAATATTCAAATAGTGCCTTGATGTAGTAACCAAAAGAGAATTCTCTCCAAAAAATGCTGGATCTTGGTGCTGAAGAAGTAAAATGGAGAAAATAAAAAAGAAAGAAAAGTGTGATTAGAAGTAAAAATGGAACTATTTTTTTTAATTCAGAAATTATTCGTAAAAATTTAAAATTATCTTTGTTTATCATCAAAATATTGAGCTATTTATAATTTTATTTTGAATGTATGTTCTAAATACATGTTGATGTGTATATTTATCATTTAAATACACTTAATACTATGATTAAAAATAATTTAACAATAAAATTTTATGTGTGATTTCTTGCAGATTAAATTACTGATTCCAATTTTTTCCATGTACATATCTTTGCTATTTAATTTTGCAGTCCCTACCAGTAGATATAATATGCATGCCCTCAATTGTGCTAGGTCCTGGAGATTGAGTAGAGTGTATTTGCACATGCAAGTATGAACATGAAGTATGCTTCTCTGAAGATTTGCTATCATATACATTGACATTGTTATTAGAAGAGTTATATTAGATAGTCTACTAGTCTAGTAGTATAGAGAACAGAGAGCTTTGGCTGACCAGGTGACTTGTAACTTGAGAAAATTCTCCCTGCACAAACCAAGAAAGATTAGTAGACTTAAAGTAAGTGATATGAAAAAACTAATTTGCAACACTTGTTATTAGTAACTCAGCCTCCTTGAATTCACTGTCACCGTTATAGCAAAACCATGTTTCCTTTTGGTCTTTTCCAACTAGTCAAGCAATGTAACAGGGATCCTACGCACACCAATTCCTGGGAGCTAAGGATACTTTCAATGTTCAAACTTTCCTTAAGGAACCGCCAATGGAAAGACACATCAAAATACACTAGGATTGGACTGTATCGTGTAACTACAAGTAGTGTCCTTCTTGTTCCCTTCATCTTCATCTCTAAAATATGGCGCACACACTTTTTTTCTGTTAATTTTGTTTTTCCTCTCCTCTACCTTTCATTACACGATCACGATCATCCTGTTGTTTGTCGATTGCCTCGAGCAGGCACCAGTAACATCTCCTTCATCCTAACCCTGAGATTTTAAAAAGTGCCATATTCAAGGCTCTTACAGGATTAGGGGAATGAGGCCCATCATTGTTACTGGTATTTGGCATATTGGGTACGCCACAGGTAGTTTGCCAGACTCTGCCATGTGGGCAGGTTACATTTGGTAGCCTACCAGTTTTCATCAAGCTGTCAATAATGCCCTATTATGTCTCAGCATCTTTTTTGTAAGTAAGAAATTAATAAAAATGAAATATAATTGACAACAGAATATCCAAGGAATATACATGTTTTCAAAGCACCTTTTTGAGAAATTAGAAAGTAGTGAAAATCTCTTTTATTTCTGTCCTAGCATGTTCTCTATCAAGGTGAGCTTTGAATACTTGTCCCTCTTATTAAACAGAACTAAAGCCCTATATGTAAACATTTTGTGATTATTAGATAATTTATTAGATAATCAGATAATTTATTCACCAGTATACGGTTCATTGACAATGCTTTCAACAAATTTTCCTATTTCTTCTGTAAAATAAGTCGAGAAGAACTTGAATGTGCTGGAATAGAGAGTTGTCTACACATGACCTTGTTCTTCAGCAAGGCACTAGTTCTGATGCATCAAAGTGTTCATTATTTCTCCAAAACTGCCAAGACTCCGGACTTTGTTGACTTATAAATATGTACAATTACTTGCGTTTCCCTAATTGCAAAGCCAAGAAATTCTTCTCTATATATACTTTTTTTTTGCTTTTTGGGTCACACACAGAGATGCTCAGGGGTTACTCCTGGCTCATGCACTCAGTAATTACTCCTGGCAGTGCTTGGGGGACCATATAGGATGCTGGGAATCGAACCTGGGTTGGCCATGTTGGCTGCGTGTAAGGCAAATGCCCTACCCACTGTGCTATAGATCCAGCCCCTATATACTTATTTTTAATGGAAAAAATGTTACCAGGAACTTACATATCTGAAATTCAAGAATCACAATTTAAAATACACTTTGATTTTAATTCAAAATATTGTGACATAACACATGTGAATATGATTTAGATTTTTAAAAGTATATATTTATTTTGTAACTACAATCTTTTTCATTATTTCCTAAAACCTTGTTTGTTTGATTTTAGACCACACCCAGCGATGCTCAGGGCTTTCACCTATTTCTGCACTCAAGGATCCACTTCTGATGGTGTTGAGGGGACATATGGGATGCCAGCCATTGAAATCAGATCTGTCATGTAAAGGTAAGCTATCTCTGGTACTATTGCTCTGGCTTCCTGTGAGTATTTTAAAGATAAAAAGTTTTTTCTAGGTTAAGGAGGACTTCTAACTATTCTTTATTAATTGTGCTACACATTTTCAGACTCTATATTCTACAGGTGAAAATAACATAAATACAGGATTATGTTTTGTTGAAAATTAGATGACAATTTAGATATACCTGATAACCTTCTGCATTGTGGTTCCTAGAAAATGGATAAAATGCTCCCAGTTGCATCCATCGTCTGCAAAGTTCTTCTGTAGTTTCACCCACAAACCCACAGATATCTGCTCCATTCTAATAACAAATATATAAATTAATTATAGTTTAAAGTTATCCATTTTTTAAAACTTTACCTTCTATGTATCATATACTTACATTTTTTTCTTACATTAATTTTGCTTTACTTTCATCATAAACTTTTTTCAATATGCCAAACACAGTAACAACAAGTCTCATGATGGAGACGTTACTGGGCCTGCTCGAACAAATCGATGAACAACGGGAGGACCGTGATAATAATACCATGATAACCATGTAGCTATTAAGTTTGCTATGCAATATTTACCTGCACTATTTTATCTTCTTCAAGATAGTCTCTTTTACATGTTCTTAGATTTATGTATTTATTTTACCCTTAATATATTAATTGTTACCTCAGTGTGTAATGGTAAAATTTCTATTTTAATATATCATGGAGAAAGATGGTCTGAGGGTTAAAGGTTCTTTCCTTAATGGGACTCTGAATCACCATGACTTTGTATCCCTGAGCTCAGTCAGGAGTAAGCCCTTACTACCACCAAGTGGAATAACCCCAATTCCAACAAAAATTGTTATTAATCCAGTCTAACCACAAATTTATTTTGACATTTACATGCCATCATAGCAGTAAAAAAAGAATAAAAACTTGCCTTCTATGAAACATTAGAAAAATGGACTATTCTTCCAAAAAAGATTCCATCAGGAAATCAAAACCAAACAAAAGATCAAAAGAGGATTGGCTTGAGGTCACTGCTTGCAAAGCAAGTAAGTTACCTCCTATGCTTTCTCTCTGAAACCTCAACTATATTTCTCTTACTGGAATTGCTTATGAAACCACACTTCATTTCATTTATAAAACTATCTTGAAAATTAAAACTTGTTCATATTTTTACCATCCACATTTTTCTATTTCTATAAAATTTTCTAATATATACTTTGCAGTTTTCCTTTTCTTTTATTTTTTGCAGTTGCATAGTAGGTATTTTAAATTACAAGCTAATTTTGTGTTTTCCTCATATGTGAATACCCACAATGTTTTATGAACGTGACTGTTATACCCATTTCTCAAGTTCTTTTCTATTTATTAAAATTATATTGTCTTGTGAATGAAGTTTAGAAAATTTTGTTTCTCAAACTTCTTTTATTTTAAATTAGAAAACCACTAAATTTGAAGACTAGTTTAGAAGAATCCATATTTCTAATATATTTAAAATTCTTATCCATGAATAAAATTTCTATATTATTAAATTTTTCTCAGAATGGTCCTTAGCTTAAATTTAATACATTTCACTTGTTATTCTTTAATAAATTGATATAATATTTATTTTAAAATATACTGTAGCATACATTATTTTAAAATACATTACAACATTTATTCTATATTAGGTAAATTTATTATAATTTGGTGTCTATTGTTCAAATTTTTATTGAACTTTGACTTGGTTGTTTCTTTGGATTTTACTCTTATTAAATCAATTTATTCTAATTTCTTTATTAGCTCATTAAATTAATTTTTTTCAAAATTTTTTCATTACAATTTTGTCAGTTTTGCTTTGCTCTTAGTGAAATAATAAGTCTATGATTTTTCCTCCAAATCCATCGATATTCCATTATCTCAAATGCAATTGTTAGCATTAACTTTACATGGTTTCCCCCCATTTGCACTCATTTTACTATTTTATTCTTTTGTATTTTTGTTTGTTTGGGGCCACATACTGTAGAGTTTAAGGCTTACTCCTGGCTTAGCACTCAGATCATTTCTAGGAGAGGTTGGAGATTTGGGGGATCATGTAGGTATCACGGATCCAATTTGGATCCACCACATGCAAAGTAAATGTCCTGTCCTTTGTACTATTATCTCCAGGCCCTCCATTTGTTTTTGTTTCATGATTCATTTGATAATGTGCTCCTAATTTCAAGTTTCAAGACACTGTGTGTGTGTGTGTGTGTGTGTGTGTGTGTGTGTGTGTGTAGTGTAGTGTTTGTGTGTGTGTGTGTGTGTGTGTGTGTGTGTGTGTGTGTGTTTGCTCTGTTTGGGTTTGGATTTTTTACCCAGTGCATATGGAAGAAAGAGCAATGGGATCAATAAGTATCTAGTAGATTTAGTAGATTTAACATATATTTTCTTTTGCTGGGCTGGAGGCAATAGCACAGCGGTAGGGCGTTTGCCTTGAGCGCAGCCAGCAGAGCCAGGTTCGTTTCCTCTGCTCCTCTTGGAGAGCCCAGCAAGCTACCAAGAGTATTTCGTCTGCAAGGCAAAGTCTGGCAAGCTACACATGACATATTCAATATGCCAAACACAGTAATTAGTCTCACAATGGAGACATTACTGGGCCCGCTGGAGCAAATTGGTGAACAATGGGAGGGCAGTGTTTGTTTTTCTTTTGTAATAGACTTCCTTAAGTCAATTTTTTGCTTAAAATGAAAAGACTTGCTAGATGTCTTATTTATAATAGTTTTATATAAACATTTTCTATTAAAATTTTCTAATTTTCTCTACTCTTTTCCTTTATTTTTGATTAATTACCTAATTAATTGTGTTTTTTTTCCTTTCCAGAAGTTGCTGAGAACTTTCTCTGGACACTGTGCTCAGGAATCACTCTGAAAGTGATTGGCTGTAACATGTGGGGCTGGGGATTCTAATCAGAGTCAGTTGCAGGTAATGAAAGAACCTAAATCCTCTCCAGCTTATTCTTATCTTTTAAGCAGAGTAAATTACTTTCTTCTATCCTAAATGAAAACCTACATCATTAAATTTTTATTTAGGATTTTACTATCAACATATTTGAACTTTACCATCTTATCTAGTGCACTTTTTATTAATAACCCTTTTTTGGTGTGCGTGTTGTGTGTGTGGGAGGAGGTGCTTGGGAGATGCTCAGCTATGTTCAAATTTCATTCTTGGCTCTGAACTCAGGGATGACCCTTGTAGGGCTCAGAGGGCCATATGGGGTGCTGGAGATCAAACCCAAATTGACAAGTGCCTCACATGCTATACTATTACTCCTATCCCAGAATCATCTTGATCTTTACCCACTCTAAAGGCCTGAAACTTAGCAACATTCAAATCATTATTTTTCTCATAAATTTCCTGAAAACAAGACTAAATAATTGTGTCATATTCTTAACCCCCTTACTAAATATCATAAATTTACTATTATATGGATATAACTCTGCACTTTTATAAATAACATTGTATGAAACAACTTACAAAAGGCATTCCAAATAAGCCGAATTCCAGCATTGCTGTGATAGACCATTCCATTTGCTCCCATGAGGCAGTATTGTCTCCCAACCAATGTGTAGCATGTCTTCCATTTCCAGCAAAAGTTGACCGAGTTAGAATAAAGCTTCTCTTATTAGGAAAAACTTTCTCAACAGCTCTAAAAGTAAAATAAGATTAATAAGTAAGAATTGCTTCAAATGTTAAAATTTAATTTCTAAAACTTTAATTTCAATTGCCCATATTACACATTCTGAAATCACTGTCACTGTCACTGTCCTCCCGTTTTTCCTCGATTTGCTCAAGCGGGCCCAGTAACGTCTCCATTGGAGACTTTGTTGTTACTGTGTCTGGCATATCAAATACATCACGGGGAGCTTGCCAGGCTCTGCCGTGAGGGCGAGATACTCTTGGTAGCTTGCCAGGCTCTCGGAGAGGGGCAGAGGAATCAAACTCGGGTCGGCCATGTTGGCTGCGTGCAAGGCAAATGCCCTACCGCTGTCAGTTTCGATTTTGTTTTGGTTTGTTTTCATTGAAGGCTATACCTAGTTGTACTCAGAATTAAATTTGCTCCAGTTTCTGTGCTCAGAAATGATTCTTGGTGGAAATCTGAGGTTCACAAGTGGTACTGTTTGATTGAACTGAGTCATTCACATGTAAGGCAAGCAATTCTCCAGTTCCTAATCTCTTATAATAAGTTTGGACACACCTATACATTTTTACTTTACTTCATTTTGATCAAAAACAGAAAACTAAAGCATTTAGAAGTTATCATTATTTATTTTACTAATATAAATAGCTTTTTAAAAATTAAAGTAAAATTAATCATACTCTTACATGTTTAAAGTATTACTCTAAATCAATTTCTATATGTACTACTTTAATTTCATTTTAATAATTCATCTACATACTTTACTATTGAATTGAAAATACACTTCTTTTACCTTAATTATATTACCTGATTTACCTACACAGCTTTCTTTCACACAATTTTTTTTTTTTTTGCTTTTTGGGTCACACCCCGCAATGCATAGGGGTTACTCCTGGCCCTGCACTCAGGAATTACATGTGGCGGGTGTAATTCAAGGGACCATATGGGATGCTGGGAATTGAACCAGAGTCGGCTGTGTGCAAGGCAAACACCCTACCATCTGTACTATTGCTCTAGCCCCTCTTTCACACTTTAGTATAATTGGTTTAAAAGGTGTATAGTTTAAAAGGCGTTTTTCTTTTGTTATTGCATTAAATTTATAAAATGCACTTTGACACAGTTTTATGATACAAATTATGATACAATTAAATGCATGAAGATGAGAGTCAGGATAATAGATACTATTATGATATTACTTATTATACATTGAACTACAAGCATTAGGAAATCAATTTTATTGTGACTTCAATATGTAATTTCTAAATGATTTCCACATACTTTTTTATCAATGTGCCTCAAAAGTGAGGACTACTATTTATTAAAACTCTTGCATTTGAAAAAAACATTTAAGATATACTATAGAAGCACTCTTTTACTAGGCTATTGTGATATTTTGTGTTGTTCATTTGTTTTTTGTTGGTTTGGTCTGGTTTTTGCCCATCAGTGCTTTTTCCTGCCTCTGCACACATTCCCGTGGTTTTGAGTGCTGTCTGCGGCGACTTTCACTGCAATCTAGTGTGCATCATTTAAAAGTTATGCAATCTTTAGTGGGAGGGACCTCATGCAGGTGACAACGATACCCCTAATCGTGAAGATTTTGCTTAGAACAATGATTTTTAGGAAAGTTTACATATTTTCTAAAATAATGCAGTTAGAAATGGGAATTGAGGAGAGGGAGGAAGTGGGAAGGAACGATATAAAGTGGAGGGATTGGTGAATACTCTATCACTTTAAAATGATGACTTGACTTTGTTACTATCGTAAACTGTGATATCTCAATTTGGGAAAAAGTATTGATCACAAGTAAAAGGATTATTAAAAAGTAAAGTAAGATTCCACCTAATATAGTGTACTGTGAATAATCTACTTTTTATGTAAATTTTGCTATATCTCATTCCTCACAAAAGTTTCACGGAAAGTTTTATTAATAAAACTAAAGTAGGTAAAATATTCAACATAAAATATGTGAAAATATTCAATATAAAAATATTCAACATACAATATTTTAATTTTAAAAATAGGAAATTAAAAATAAGTAAATATATACCACACAGTCTCTGTTCGCCAAGTTTTGAATGTGCAAATGTTCATACATGATCTGCTGCCTTCACAATGTTCTTTTTTTTCTTTTTTTGCTTTTTGGGTCACACCCGGCAATGCACAGGGGTTAGCTCTTCACTCAGGAATTACTCCTGGCGGTGCTCAGGGGACCATATGAGATGCTGGGAATAGAACCGCGATTGGCTGCATGCAAGGCAAACGCCGTACTTGCTTTGCTATCACTCCAGCCCCGACAGTGTTCTTTTTTTCAATAAAATATCATTCTTTGCCTTCTTTATTTTTAATTTTCCATTAGTAGAAAATTATGTGTTTTGAAAAGAAATGTGAGAGTGGTCTGAATTAACCTGCACTTACTTCTCGGTGGCTATGGCCATGCTGTACCCGTAGAGGCTGTGGACGTCGTACTGCTTTCCCCAGTGCTGCAAGGCGTCCATGCAGATGGTCTTGGCATACATGAGCTTATCGAGGATATCTTAGAGAAAACAGGTTGAAAACATTTTAAACACGTATTTTTGCCATTTCAAATTGCATAACTTTTAAATGCTGCACACTAGAATACTGTGAAAGATAACATCTTAAATGTATTTCAAACATAACATTGGTTACATCTCCACTTCTGTTGAAAAATCATTTGATTTGCATGTACTAATAATGTTCTGCCTCCTAGCTTCAGCAGCAAACAAATTCATAAGGAAAATGTTATGAACATTTCTTTACAAATCTATACATCTCTATTTTACTTCATGTGCAATTTAATCTATTTTAAAGTTTAGGATAGCACTGTAGCACTGTCCTCCCATTGTTCATCAGTTTGCTTGAGCAGGCACCAGTAACATCTCCATTGTGAGACTTGTTGTTACTGTTTTTGCCATATCGAATACACCATGGGGAGTTTGCCAGGCTTTGCTGTACGGGCGGGATACTGTCGGTAGCTTGCTGGGCTGTCTGGGAGGGGTGGAGAAACTGAACCCGGGTCAGCTCGTGCAAGACAAATGCCCTACCCTCTGTGCTCTTTCTCCAGCACAAAGTTTAGGATAGATTCGTATATTTAAATATAACCTTGGCCATTTAAATTTTTGTACTGGAATACTGAATGACTGAAATCTAATTATAAACAGCTTTATAGAGGTCTATCTCACAGTGTTTCAATAGAAAAGTATAGCAAAATGAAAACAAAATAATAAATATAACCTTGGTATTCAGATTTTACAGCATGTAAGGTGCTTCTAGATATTTCTTACATTCAGCTGACCCAGTTTGATACTTGGCAGAAAACTCTTAGCACTGACAGGTGTGACGCATACAAATGATACCCATGTACAGACACATGGGTGCACACACACACACACACACACACACACATTCTATATATGTAGACTTATTAGTTACACATCATTAAAATATTGCTGTTTAACTTTTTATTGTGTCTTAATCTCAGTTTTACTTAGTATTACAGTATTTGTAAAATTTAGTGAGCCTTAAAGAGATATCCTCCCTTGGGACCTGAAGGAAAGGACAGTGGATAAAGCGCTTGCCTTCATGCTGACCTGGGTTGAATCCCTGGACCCGATATGGTGCTCTGAGCCCATCATGAGACTGAACACAGCCAGGAGTAAGATCTGAACATAGTCAAGTGTGACACCCCCAGATAACAAAACAAAACAAAAAATATCTACTTCTCAAAGTACACACACACAAACACACACATATATTATATATTCATAACTGTATATTCACTGCATCACTGTATCACTGTCATCCTGTTGCTCATCCATTTACTCTAGCAGGCGCCTGTGACATCACTATTCATCCCAGCCCTGAGATTTTAGCAGCCTCTCCTTACTCGTCTTTCCCAATGCTGCCTTGTTGGAGGCTCTTTCAGGGTCAGGGGAATGAGACCCATTATTGTTGCTGTTTTGGCATATCATACTCCTCGGGGAGCTTGCCGGGCTCTCAGAGAGTCATAAAGGTAAAGGTAAAGGCCCTCCCGTTGATCGTCGATTTGCTCGAGCGGGCCCAGTAACGTCTCCATTGGAGACTTTGTTGTTACTGTGTCTGGTATATCGAATACTCTCGGTAGCTTGCCGGGCTCTCCAAGAGTCATATATATATATATATATATATATATGTATATATATATATGTGTGTGTGTGTGTGTGTGCTTTAACATATATATAAATTATATGTATATAGCATATATATACATATAAATATATATATTTATTTCCCTCTGTGTGATTTGTTTCCTACTATATAACTACATATTACCCACTTTGAATGATGAAACTAATTTTAGCATTCTGTGGTTTGTTTGGGGGTCATACCTGCGTATGCTCAGGACTTAATGCTTATTCTGTGATTAGAGATCTCTCCTGACAGTGCTTAGGAGACCATATGTTGTAGCAGAGATAGAACAGGATATGTCTACGAAACAAGCACCTTTACCTGTTACTGTCTTTTGCCTGAAAATGTTTTTTGTTTTATTCATTTATTTATTGGTAGGAGGATAAGAATGGGGATCACATCCAGTGGTGGTCAAGGCTTACTCTTGGCTCTGTCCTCAAGGATCACTCCTAGGAGTGCTCAGAGGCCATGTGCAGTGCACGGGATTGAACCAGATTTCTCCCATACTACTTCTCTGGCCCCTGAAACTGTTTTAAAGAATGTGTGGGGTTGATTATATTAGAGCCATAGTCAAATACTCATGAAATAAATGTGATCAATTAAATTCATAATTTTATATACTTTTATTTTATTAATTAATGATAGAGAATTCACCAATAATAGAGACATCAACATGCTATATGTTCATATTTAAAATTTATATGTAAAATTGTCTTTTTTTCCTAGATATAAATATTTTGGTCAAAGTTACATTCCCGCTGCAATACTTTCAGATTCTCAAAAATACTAAAGTTTATGATTCAGAAATGAAATGCAGATAGATCTACTATTTAGAAGTATATTACATAAGTGAATACACATGCAAATTTACTATTAAATTTTGCATAATCTATAGCAAATACATCAACAAATGAAATTTACCTGGAGTAAAAGGTGGATAATTTAGTTTGTTGTTATTGCATCCTTTTGTTGAACCATGAACAAAGCTGGAAACTTCATTCATATCCTTAATGAATATAAAGTGAAAAAAGCAAATTTTCACAGTTTTAATCATATAATAAATTATTTCAAATACTTTCTAACTAAATAACAAACTAAACAAGTGAAGTATGTTCAGTTTTCTCATTATATTAAAATATACAGCAGTGTCTATTTATGGAGAAATAATTCCATGCTAATTGTTAAAAAAAAATCATTATTTAAAATGGTCACTTACTTTGTGGTGTGCCTGTCAAATTGACAGGCAGGACTGAGGGGGTTGGGATAGGGAGGGAAACTGGGATTACTTTTGTATAAAAGTTGACACTGGTGGAGGGATTGGTGTTGAATTATTGTATGCAGACCCCTCAAGTGTTAGTAACTTTGTAAATTATGGCTCTTTAATAATAATTTTAAAAATAAAATAAGTCACTTACAATCCAAAGCCCATCATATTGCACTTCCTGATGGAAAATACTGCATTCATTTGCCCACCAGTCTATGCATTTTGGATTAGTGAAGTCGGGATATACTGTTAATCCTGGCCACACCTAGAAGAATAGGTCATTCATGTACATGTATTAATAAAACAAAAAAATAAGAATTCAAATGAATTGACTAGAGAATCATAGTTATGCTTAAGTATTATATATGCATCAGTTGTTTGGAATAATCATAAGATTACTTTAAAATGTATATGAAAAAGAGATATTAATGAAAGTGAGTGACGTAATAAAGTCTATTGGATGAAAAATCATAAAGAACATGACATGTGCGGTTTTGGAGAGATAATACAGAGATCAAGATGCATGCCTTGCATGTGACTAACCTTAGTTCAACCCTGACACTGTGTATGGTCCCCTGAGCCTGCCAGGAGTGATTCCTGAGCACAAAAAAACGAATAAGCTCTGAGGAACACTCGGAGGGAGTGGCACAAAATAGAAAAAAAAGGAGGGGGAGTAAGGCTGTTATTCTGAATGCAACTAACTAAATATACCTTTTATGATCAAAATAGGCAGATTAAATATATATATATAACATATGTAATAAAGTTATATTTGCTTTTTGGGTCACACCTGGCAATGCACAGGCATTACTCCTGGCTCTGCACTCAGGAACCCTTCCTGGCAATTCTCAGGGAATCATATGGGATGCTAGGAATTGAACCCGGGTTGGTTGCATGGAAGGCAAATGCCCTACCTGCTGTGCTATCACTCCAGCCCTAATATATAAATATACATATATATATTAATATATAATATATATTATTGTATTACTGTCATCCCGTTGTTCAATGATTTGCTCCAGTGGGTGCCAGTAACATCTCCATTTGTCCCAGCCCTGAGATTTTAGCAGCATCTCCTAATAAGGAGTAAGGAGAGGCTGCTAAAAATATATTTGATCATTGTATAATTGAAACCCAAGCACAAAATATGTAAGTATACAACTGTACCTCATGGTGTCTCACTAATAAAAATTGAAAAAAAAATCTTCTTTGTTCATTGATTGAAAGAACAAATATTTTCAAAATGAAAAAAATATATATATATAGCACTGTAGCACTGTAGCACTGTCCTCCTGTTGTTCATTGATTTGCTCAAGCAGACACCGATAATGTCTCCAGTGTGAAACTTGTTGTTACTGTTTTTGGAATATGTCACAGGTAGCTTGCCAAGTTTTGCCGTGTGAGTTGAATACTCTCAGCATCTTGTCGGGCTCTCAGAAAGGGGTGGAGGAATCGAACCCAGGTTGGCTACATGCAAAGCAAATGCCCCTACCCACTATGGTATTGCTCCGGACCACCCCCCCAAAAAAATATATATATATATTTTAAAGTTAGAATAGTCTTTATTGTTGTAAAGAATAATATAATAAAAATATTTTATGTTAGTATTGTCTATGGTTATATTTTATATAAAGTAAATTCTATTTGACTAAATTTAAACTAAAATTGTTCAAACCAATGTGTCTAAACATTATAAATTTTTAAGTTAAGAGTTGTTTTCAAAACTATACTCACATTGATTAAAATTTAGATGGTAGGGAGTTTGTGTACTGTGGCTTTTACTATTTGATATTAGGAATGTTACTTGACCACTTTTAAATTAAATTTCTTTAATTAAAGTATCTTATTATTTTATTCACAATGTTTAAAATAAACCAGAAAACTTAATACCAATAATGTAATTACTCAATTTACATGTGCAATTATTTTTTTAGATACTAGGGCTGGAGCGATAGCACAGCGGGTAGGGCGTTCGCCTTACAAGCGGCCAACATGGCCGACCCGAGTTCGATTCCTCCTCCCCTCTCGGAGAGCCCGGCAAGCTACCGAGAGTATTTGATATGCCAGACACAGTAACAACAAAGTCTCCAATGGAGACGTTACTGGGCCCGCTCGAGCAAATCGACGATCAACAGGAGGGCCTTTACCTTTTACTATTAATAAATAAAGTTATTGGTGGACTGGAGCGATAGCGCAGTGGGTAGGGTCCAACATAGTAGACGCGAGTTCGATTCCTCTGCCTGGCATGGCAAAGCCTGGCAACCTACCTATGACGTACTCAATATGCCAAACACAGTAACAACAAGTCTCACAATGGAGACATTACTGGGCCCACTCTAGCAAATCGATGAACAATCTGAGGACAGTGACAGTGAAAGTTATTGGTCATACTGTGTTACTTTTGTTTTAATTAGACATACTTTGAATTATGCTAAAAGTTTGTGATTCAGAAAGGTATGCAAGCATTTCTATTATTTAGAAATATATATGTGCATATGTTTGTGAAAATTATCCGTCTTTATAAAATGATTTGGGAAAAACAGAAACATCTTTATTTCTAAAATTTCTTTCTTAGATTTTAGTACAATATCTATACTTGAAATAAATATCACAAGATATTTTTGCATGACAAAAATCAGAGCAATAAAACCTTAATTAATATCAGAATTACCTCTCCAATAAGTGCATCAGTCCCATCTGGTTGATATACCCACACTTTGTCTTTATTTCCCCTCTCATAGGTTTCATATGGTGCCCCACTGGTGCGAGGAGTTATGGAAATAGCAGGGTCCTAGTAATAGAAAGAATAAGATTATAGGAAAACTGTTGACTTAGTAAATATTAAAGTTGCATGAACACATAAATCATTACCAAAATGATGACATATTTCTGTCCATGGTCATGCAAATCTTTAACAAATTCAGGAAGTCCTCTAAATGTATTATTGTCATAAGTAAAGTCTTTCTTGTTTTCCATGTAGTCAATATCTGTGACCTGTGTATCCTAAAAATTGACAAAGCATATTTTAATGAATTGCACTGAGAATACAAAACTTTACTGAATAGTTAATATCTGTAACTAAAAATTATAATTGATTTTAATTTCATTTATAATAAATGAATTCATTAAGGATTCAATAATATTATACAGTTACTTTTCTAATACCATAGTAAAACAACTTAAATAATTATTCACTATATATGCTATGACATATACACATTAAAATAAAAATAAAGAGGTGCCGGAGAGATAGCACAGCGGGTAGGGCGTTTGCCTTGCACATGGCCAACCCGGGTTCGATTCCCAGCATCCCATATGGTCCCCTGAGCACTGCCAAAAGTAACTTCTGAGTACAGAGCCAGGAGTAACCTCTGTGCATCGCCAGGTGTAACCCCAAAAACAAAAATAAAATAAAATAAAATAAAAATAAGGAATGTAGAAATTACACTGAACTTTTACAAAACTGAAATATATATGCTTTAAAAATAAAAAAATTAAAAATTATTTAAGTTTTTGTGGTTATTTTTTATATTTTTTATATTTTGTGGTAATTTTATTAAATAAAATTATTTAATTTATTTGGTGGTTCTCGGGAGATTGATAATTTTTTAAATTTTTTTATTTTATAAAGTAGTTCACAATATTTGATTATATTTAATATTCAAACACCAAGCCCACCACCATTACACCTTCCCACCACCAAATTTGAGATGTTTCCATGCCAAGCCCTAATCTCTATCCCAAAATACAACCAAAATGATATATTTTGTATTCTCTGTTATAAAAAGGGCTGGAGCAATAGCACAGCAGGTAGGGCATTTGCCTTGCATGCAGCCAACATGGCTGACCCAAGTTCGATTCCTCCGCCCCTCTCGGAGAGCCAAGCAAGCTACCGAGAGTATCTAGCCCGCGCGGAAGAGCCTGGCAAGCTACCCATGACATATTCGATATGCCAAACACAGTAACAACAAGTCTCATGATGGAGACGTTACTGGGCCCACTCGAGCAAACTGATGAACAACGGGAGGACCGTGATGATGATGAAAAATAAAAAATATTTGAAAACAGAATATAATTTTGTTCATCATTAACCATATATTCTATTTTAGTCCACTTAATCAGTCTCAATATTTTAAGTGAACATTGCATTGTGTTTGTCACAAGTGGAGAGTGGGGAGGCAGTTGGAATAGAGAAGGGAGTACTATGATAAGGAGAGTTGCCAATGATCACTCTGGACAAGAACTGAGTGCTGAAAGGAGTTAAAGGGAAAACATGATGACCTTTCAGTACTTGTTGCAAATGGCAATGCCCAAAAGCTAAGAGAGAGAGAGAGAGAGAGAGAGAGAGAGAGAGAGAGAGAGAGAGAAAGCACCTGTTATTGGGGCAGACTAGAAGGTGAGTGGCACAGGAAAGAAATAAGAGACTTTGGGGTGGGAAATGCACACTGGTGAAGGAATGGGCATTGGAGCATTGTATGAGTAAAACTCAATCTTAAACAACTTTGTAACTGTGTATCTCATGATGATTCAGTTAAAAAATAAACAAGAGAAATTTTTAAAAATTAATAAACTGTTAAATAATGGATGGTAGGAGAAAGGGTCAAGATGGCCAAGAAGAAGAAACTGTATGCATGCTTCTGTAATCCCAGAAAATTTTACAAAGAAATAGATCAATAGTACAGAAACCTACCTGGCACTCTTACAAAACCCTGGGCAAGGGACACAAAAAGACACCAGTATGTATTGAAGAAAAAGATGGTCACCCTTGTCCAGTATAGAGTAGCATGATTTAATAGAGAAAACATTTCTGAAATGAAGAATTTTGTCTTCGGGCACAAAGGGGTGGGTTACAATGAACGATAGAAACACAATCCTACAATATCATACTTATAAAAATGGATTAGTATGAAAGAAATTATGAGGCTACAAACAGGGTTTAGACACCAGCAGGCAATATCTTGGTGACCTCTCAACCTGCCTGATGGGTGCCATGTTAGTGACTAACTCTAAGAGCAAAATACTGAGAACTCTAGTTATCCATAGAACATAACTGAACTAGCTAGCTTGTGAGTCACTTATCATGATTACTTTCTTACTCTAGCAAACAAACAGATCTTTCCCTTCAGTCCGCAATCTCTGTCAGCCTACATGGTGTCACTCCTACCAGTAGTGTTCCCTTAGCACACAGTCAGAAATAAGCTCAGAGCACTTCCTGGTTTGGCTCAAAGCAAAGAAAACCCAAAAAATCACCTATAGATTTCCTTGTGAATAGGAAATTAAGAAGGAGTCATCACTTCTTAATGTATTCCTTAGCATCCTTGGAGATACTCTATGAAGGAATTCCCAGATTCATCTGAAACCCAAACAAACATTGACTCTATAGCCAGTTCCAAGTTTGTGTATCCAAGTCAGTACTTTTTCATCTTGGTATAAAGTTGACTGAGAAATCATAATATGGAGACCTCATCATCTCCAACCTTGCTCTAATTTTGAAAACAGTTAATAAATCAGTTAATAATGGGAACTTGTAACCGAGTACCACTGGTGACTATCAAACTCTTAATAAACTTGGTGAACTGGTTGCCCTAGAGCACTACAGTTTTGAAACATAGGACAATATCCCTAGGTTTATTTATTTATTTATTTATTTATAATGTGGATAGATCATCTCGAGGATGTTTAGGAACCAGGAATTTTTGAGATATACATCTACAAAGTCTCTTTCCCTTAAAACACATACCCCACTGCTTTGAACTATCTCCTTGCTCCCTACAACTGAATGTGACACTCTGGTGAAGTGTGTGGTGTTGGAATGTTTTGCTTGTTTTTGTTTTTGTTTTGGCATGAAACTCTGCCATTGTCAATATTGCAAACCATACTGTCTAAAATTAAAAGTAAAATGAGGAGATAATAGAAAGGTGATTTAAAAATACAGAAGTGGGCAAGAAAGACAGTACAGAAGAATGGGTTCTTGCCTTGAATGCATTTCATTCATTGCACCCCATATTGTCCTGAGACCACCAAGATTGATCTCTGAATGCAAAGCCAGGAGTAAGCCCTGAGTACCATCGAGTGTGACCCAAAACAAACAAAAATAATGAAGAGAAAATAAGATAAGTATTATACAATAGCAAAAGAAATAACCTCCTAGGGACAACAGAAAATACACAAGGGAACACCGATTAAACTAGGATGAACAGCTAGAGGAAGTCACAAAATAGCCTCAAATACAAGGGGAACAAAAGAAAATACACATCACTCAAGAAGAGAAAGGAATTATAGATATAATTACTACCTGAAGAGTCCCAGCTAAAAAGACCTTTCCTCCAAAATTTGAGGGAAAGTTTAGTACACTTAGATGAATAACAGGTGGATATATTTAGACAAGCATTCTAAATGCATGTAGCAGGAAATAAAGAACAGACTCCTGTTTAAAAAAAAAAAGTCAAATCCCAAAACTGAACAGAATTCTCATAGAAAAATGGCAACAATTTTTTCATATTAATAATTTCTCAACATGTTTTAGGCTAGAGATAAATGGTTAATGTCACAAGCCTTATACACAACTGACCCAAGTATGATCCCTGGCAACACATGGTTTTCTGAGCATCAGTGGATGCAGCCCTGGAAGTTCCCAAGGAATGCTACAGAGATCTCTAAGCAGCACTGTGGTGGCCCAGAACAACCTTGCCATCACAGGGCCTGAAAAACTGTTCCTCAGATTATAAATAATAATTTAGATTATAAATAATGATATATATGATGTAAATGTATATGTTAAATCATATCATTTGTGAATATGTTTGATATTTTGTGCAACAGATAACTTTCAATACATTTTTAAATGCCTTCATTTAACTTACATATGGAATACGAGCAGCCCGATTTCTTTGTACCACTTCTTTCACTACATCCAGTGACCCATAATTCCAGCGACTCAGTTGGAATCCAAGACTCCAATATGATGGCATTGCAGGTCGTCCAGTGAGCTTGAAATAAATAAATAAATGTTCCATTAAATCTAATGCATGTAAAATGCAGAAGAAATAATATTTTCCCATTATGTTGTCTCTGGGTGTTCACTAAGTTTAGCTACATATTTTATGTGTCCTGGATATTCTATTAGAAATTTGTTTTCACAATCACTTCTAATTTGTTGATCCACTTATCTGTGCAATATAGACTACTGGCTGAGGAAGTGTATTGTAATAAAAAGTAATTCTCAGATCATCCTTGACCATAGTACTTAGAGAGGAGACACAGAAGGAAAGAAATCAAAGGTGGTAGAAGAGAACAAGAAGTAATGGATTAACAGGCATCAAGGTTTCAATTATACCAGTTATGTGAGTGAGGAATATAGCCGTATATCCAAAACACAAATTAAACAGAACTGAAAACGTGAGATCTAACCACTGAAACTATGAAATTTGCCTGCAAAGGACATATGGGTGTTGAATGGAGGTTGGGATGAGAAGGAATCTGGAGGACTAGGAGAACTGGATGAGGGAAGGTTGTACTGCTTGCGGGATTGGTGTTAAATTATTGTCTGCCCAAAAAAAGCAAATTTGTAAATCATGGGTTTTTAAAATAAAACAATTATAAAATTGAATAAAAACTATAAAAACCTAAAAATTAAATAAAAACTAGCTATCACTTAAAGTATAGTACAATAATGGATATTTTTGTCAATGGGCATGAAAATCAAAGAAAATATTATAGCATCAAAGACATGAGAAAAGGAAATTCAACCACTATGTTACTACTTTCCTTTTTTTGTTTAAATAATATTTGTTTTCATTTTTAACTTCTTTATTATTTTTTTAATTTTCTACTAACAAAAAGAATGGACAAATTCTCTATACCTTTACCTAAATGGGGTCCAAATTTAACTAGTCATGTAAAAATGATGACACATGCAGTTATGAAAACAAATATATCTTTACAAATTAATTTAAATATATCACACATGTGTGTTTAAAATGTGATTCATGAAATAAAAGTAGGTCAAAACACATTTTATATAATAAATTTGAATCATACCTCTTGGTACTGTTGAACTACTTGTTCTGGAGTATCTCCTAGAAAGATGTAAAAATCCAGAATGCCACCAGTAACTCTGTAAGTTACTACTGGAGTAGGCTGGATGAAAACCTCTACAAAATAAAATTGCAAAAAACACATGTAAACAGTAAAAAGGTATGTAGTAGTACATTATTAATAGCCTATTTAATTTATTTAATATTAACTGTACATCTGAAATGATTTTTCTAAATAATTAAGAGAAAAATGTTGGAAATAGAATATAGAAAAAAATGAAGTGTCACCATTTATAAATTTTATTATACACGATTCCAGATTTTTTTTACAGTTTACGAAAGTACTGGAAATTGTATATCAACATATAAAGGATATGACCCTTTAAATTAAAAAGACTTCCTTATTAAAATATATTTGAATTATTTTATTGCATACATGCTAATAAATTACATTATTCAAAGTAACTTCTAAAATATTATGAATATTTTAAATTTAGTTTTACTATAAGTAAATTAGTAACTACCTGGATAGTTATGCAATAAGTTGCATGTAGAACATTATATATTTTTTATCATCAACGATATAAATATTAAATGTAGGATCCACAGAGATATTAATAAAAAACAAAAGATTTTATTATGCTTGTATGATAAACTAAAAACTTATTGCTTTCTAGTTCTTAATCCCCATATCAACCTGTTTTACTGTTATTTGTAGAAATGTTAAAAAACAAGTCTATAGAAATGAAACATTTTCTTCTCTATTTGTGTTTAAAGGAACTATTAATGGAAAACAAAGTGCCTATCACAACACATCCAACCATCCCCATAAGAAAAGCATTGGTATGCAAAAACCTACTCCTTGATTGCAAATTAAAAGTTGTTTATAATAATTTTAAAAGTTAATTTATTTACAAAAACTATAGAATTGGAATAAAAAACACAGTTAAAAATTTAATCTAATTAAATTAAAATTTAATTTCATTTAGATACATTGTTAGATAAATTTTTCTTACCCATTGCATTGCTGTTCATTAAGAAAACACCAAAGGACTTTCCAGAGGTATCTTCAATGCACATGAAAAATGTTTGATGGCCATATAAATTATTGTTATTCTATATGAAAAAATTAAAAACGTGACATGTAATCTACATTTAAATTTTATTCTTGTAGTCTACAAGTATACATCTATACTAATTTTCTCTTTGTCCCATATGAAGTAGTATAGCACAACCTTATTTTAATTATTGAATTGCTTTTATACATAGATATAATTTGTAATAACATATGCATTGCTATGGGCTGGAGCTATGGCACAGCCGTAGAGCATTTGCCTTGCGCGCAGCCACGCAGCCAGCCCAGCCAAGCCGGGCTGAATTCCTCCGCCCTTCTCAGAGAGCCCGGCAAGCTACTGAGAGTATCTTGCCCACACGGCAAAGCCTGGCAAGCTACCCATGACGTATTCAATATGCCAAACACAGTAACAAGTCTCAAAATGGGGACGTTACTGGGCCCACTCAAGAAACTTTATGAACAACGGGAGAACATTGACAGTTTATTTTATGCATTGCTATGAATAAATTATTCTGAATTTGTATTGTTCAAAGTGAACTGTAGCAAGTTCAATTATTCACAATAGTAATTTTAATCCATTATTGCTCATGCTTGGTCAGTGTCCTACAGAAAATTCAAAGATGATATATGCCACATATCAGTTTTACAGTGTGTTGGTGAGAGCTGGTAGTGGTTAGATACAAAATGGAAAAGACATTATAAGATGAGAGAAAAGAGCTTCGTTGGTTGATTGAATATGGAGGTTGAAAAGGAAAAATGTGTATAAAAATAGTTCTCAGCCTAGTATTTATTAAAATACTGATACTGTAAATAAAAATTGGTAGAATATTAATAATTATACACCAAATGACAATATTCAATGCAATTAAGTTATTAATTGGAGGAATGTATACTCATTATGTGGACACTTAAAATTAGAAACTACTGAGTAAAAGCAATTATCAATCAATATTTTAAGGGTATGGTCTTTTTGATGAATGATCTCACATTCCAGAACTATAGCACTGTAGCACTGTCCTCCCTTTCTTCATCGATTTGCCTGAGCAAGCACCAGTAACGTCTCCATTGTGAGACTTTTGTTACTGGTTTTTTTTTGCATATTGAATATGCCCCGGGGAGCTTGCCAGGCTCTGCTATGGGGATGGGATACTCTTGATAGCTTGCCGGGCTCTCTGAGAGGGGTGGAGGAATTGAACCTGTTGGCCACATGCAAGGCAAACGTCCTACCCTCTGTGCTATCACTCCACCCCTCCAGAAGTATATAAAAAATATATTTTACGTACTGTCCAGTGTACACTGTGGAAACAGTGACAGTAAAACAGGTAGGGTGCTGAGTGGGATTTGATCCCCAGCAACCATTATGACCCCAAACCTGGCATGAGCACAAAGCCATATGTAAACACTGAGAGCAGCCAGGTGTGCACCAAAAACTACTAACAAAAATGAAACAATAACTGATACACTGTGATGATTGACAGTAATATTTCACCTAGGTGTTAAACATAAACCCTAATTCTACACTGGGAGTTTAGGAGACAGTATTATAAGGTGAAACATAAAATCAGCAGTCAGTGGCTTATATAAACAATAAAGATGTTCATGTAAAATGTCTACAAATCAAACAAACTTCTATTTGCATTTTCAAAGAATACCTACATAGGAAAGAGGAAGATGGGAGTTAGATATACAGTGGGATGTACAATTGATGTATGTACTAATCATACAAAGTCATGTAAGACAGGTATTTGAATTATTTTGATAAAATGATTAGTCATTACTTGGTAATGACAAGGATTTTTGAAGAGTAGATGAAATTGGGGGTAGTAGTAAATTGGGGGTCAGATAGGCAACACAGCAGGTAAGGATCTTGCCCTGCACATGCCCAACACTAGTTTAATCCCTGGCACTATGTGTGGTCCCTAAAGCCCTATCATGAACTGATTCCTGAACAGAGAGTCAGGAATAAGCTCAAAGTACCACTGTGTGGTCCCCTAAAACACAAAATAAAAAGGTAAAACACTAAAAATTAAATAAAAAAATAAGCTGAAATTGGAAACATCTATTTAAGCAGTCAAAACAATTATAGGTATAGGTAATTTAGGACATTGTTATCAATCCCTAGCCCCAAAGTAAACAACTTCTGGATTAAGTATTGCTGATATCAAAAAATAGTTTGATTGACAATAAAATATGCTCCAGTTTTGTTATAACCAAAGGTAGTTGAAAGCAGAACTGATGGTGCAGGTGCTAGGAAGCTTGCCTTCCATGTAGCCCTTTAGGTTTCAATCCCAGTACTCTGAATATCTCCAGCCCAGAGTCAAGAAGAAGCCCTGAACACAGATGTCAGGTGTGGCCCCCAAGGCAAAACCAACAACAAAACAAACAAGAAAAACCAACAACAATAAAAGTGGTTCCTTACGTCACCAGGTAGTTGATCACGGGTGAAAATAGGCCATGTTTTCCAGTATAGATCATGACGAAACCTCTTATGAACATGTTCTCCAAGTCCATACATGTATTCACTGGGGAGTCTGGTTGATATCTGTAGGTACTGGTCAGAGTACACAAGGGGGCCAACGCTAGTGTCAAACCTGTGCATGAAAGAAAGAAGCAGTTTGCCTATATGGATCAAATGTTTTTCAGAAAACAGGTCTCTGCTAGCATCTCTCACTACTTCATTCTGAGTATATCAATTCATTTATTGGAAATCAGGAACTATACTATACCGAAGAATAGTATAACTAGCACATATATTCCATATTTATACACATTTTATCCACAGTATATAAAATTTATTTATCATTATAATCTTCAGAAACAAGTACACTCACCACTTTATGGAAGGAGACATTCTTTCTGGAAATGTCATGAGTAGTAGCAACAAGATTAAACGACTAGTCACTTATATGTAAGTAAATGTAAAATAAAAGGGTTACTTACAAAACTTTTTTATTGCTTTTTCTAGAAACTTGTATGTTAAATGGATTTTCAGTAATTTTCACATCATACAATGTATTAGAAGCCGGGGGTCCTGAAAAGTCTTTTACAAACTGATGAGGAACTTCAAATCTTTTATTATTTGGATCAGTAATCTGTAAATTTTGAACAAATAAGCATCAGTTGGTTCAAAAGTATTATTTGTGTTTAATCTATGTTGCAATAAGTACAAATTAAGTACAAATTAAAAATAGTAAGCTATAAACTTAGTAATTCCATAGATTTGCTATTAATATAGTCATAAGCTTGATTTTAATCTTATTCAGAGATTCTACCCCATAAATTGTATATATTGAAAAATTAAATAGAATATACTGATTTATGAAAGTACCATGTATAAATATTTTGTGAAATCATTGCAATTTTAGTAAATATTTACTGATGGATCTAGATATTACTATCCTTATTGTCTTTCAGTTAACCCCATTGGAAATCCTATGAGGATGTAGATAGTGTAACAGTAATCTTATATCAAACTTTAAATTAAACCATTAAAATTATTAAATATCAGTGCCCGGTCTTCTTCCTCCCCCAGGTCAGTCAGTATTTGAACCCAGGACTTGGCTTTCTCTGAGTACATGCCCCAGGGGTTCTCTAGGACTCTGGGATGCTCACCAATCCTGAGCCTCTTCCTGTTCATCCCCAACACTGTGCCGAGTCTTCTTCCTCCCCCAGGTTGTACTACCCCCACACACCAGGTACCCGTAGGGGGCATGGCCTTTTCAGAAGTGGGCATGGTTTCTGCGGGAGTGGGTGTGGCTTAATTTTGGACCAGCGGATGTTCACACAGCCATAGCTAATTTACTCATACGCAGCAATCTCGTGTAACATCTGACTCTCCATACCTCCACACCAACATGAAGACAACGCAAATCCCCATGAAGAGGGGAGGGTGATGAAAAGGGTCCAGAAGCCTCAGTAGGTACTACTCACCTATGGGACCTCTCTGAGAAAGAATTCAGATATGAAGTAATGATGATGTTCGATGAACTCAATGAAACAGTGAGACAGATATCCAGAAAATTAAAGGAGGACATGAAAGAAACAATTGAGAAAATATGGGAAGAAATGAGAGCAGAAATTGGAAAGCTAGGCACAGAAATGTCACTAATAAAAGTTTCAATAGATAGAATAAAAAACTCAGTCTGTGCCATCAGTGGTAGAATGGCCACAGCTGAAGACAGAATCAGTGAGCTGGAAGATCAGCAGCACGAAGCCAACAAGCAACAACAAACAATGGCAAGAGACCTCAAAACAGCTATAGGGTGGATCAGAGACTTAGAGATGATTACAAGAAGAAAAAAGATAGAACCATTGGAGTACGAAAAGGTGAGGGAAACAATCCCAATGAAAAAGCTAGGGTTAAACAAATCATTGCTGAAAAGTTCCAGAGCTGGACAATGCAGGCATCCAGATTCAAGGAGCCCAAAGGGTACCAGCTAAAAGAGACCTTAACAACAAAACTCCTAGACATATCATCGTTAGAATGATGGATACCACGGAGAGGGAAACAATACTGCAAGCAGCTAGGTCAAAGAAGGAAATCACATACAAAGGAGCACCCCTTAGAATCACAGCAGACCTATAAGAGGAAACCCACCAAGCCCGAAGGCAATGGTGGAATATAGTGAAAAATGAACACTTCACCAAGAATACTTTATCCGGCTAAATTCTCACTCAAACTCGAAGGAACTCTATACTATTTTGTGGATAAACAACAGCTCAGGAACATCATAGACTCAAAACCAAACCTAAAAGAAGGGCTAAAAGGGCTGCTGAAAGGCAAGACAAACCACTGCAAGTACAACAAACACTTACAGAAAGATGACACAAAACCCGATAACAATAATCTTTCTCAATGTCAATGGTCTAAATTCACCAATGAAGAGACATAGAGTGGCAAAATGGATTCAGAGACAGAACCCAACATTCTGCTGCCTACAAGAAACTCATCTCAACAGTCAGGGCAAACACAGACTCAAAGTTAGAGGATGGAAAACAATGCTGCAAACTAAATCTCGCTCAAAAAACCTTGGGTGACCATAGTAGTATCTGACAACATCAATTTCAGGTTGAAAAAGGTTAGAAGGTACAGGGTGGGCCATTTTCTACTTATCAAGAGATACGTACAACAGGAAGAAATCACACTCTTAAATGTATACGAACCTAATGAGGGAACAGCTAAATATATAAAGCACCAGCTAAACAGATTTTAAGGAGGATATTGCTAGCAAAACAATAGTAGCTGGAGACTTCAACATCGCCTTACCAACTCTGAATAGATCAACAAGAACAAAACTCATCAGGAAAACATTGGCTTTGAAGGAACAAATAGAAGAGAGAGTGCTTATAGACTTATAAAGGGTTTAACACCACAAAAAGAAAGAATACACATTCTTCTCCAGTGCACACGGAACATTTTCCCAAATAGACCATGTGCTTGGCCACAAAACATACCTCAATAAAATCAGAAAGATAGAAATAGTACCAACAATATTTTCAGACCACAGTGCAATGAAGATAGAAGTGAATCACACACAGACATGGAGAAACATATCGGACAACTGAGTCAGGAAGGAAGTCAGGAAGAAATCAAAAGATACCTGGAAAACAAATGAGAATGAAGACATGAGCTACCAGATCCTATGATTGCAGCTAAAGCCATGATAAGAGGAAAATTTATATCTCTGAAAGAATTTGTCAGGAAGGAAGAAAGGGCCCACATAAACAACTTGACCTCACAGCTCAAGATCATAGAAAAGGACCAACCCAAACCAGGCAGAAGGAAAGAGATCATAAAACTTAGAGCAGAAATCAATGACAAGGAAATAAAAAAAAAATCCGAAAGATCAATGAAACCAAGAGCTGGTTCTTCAAGAAAATGAACAAGATAGATAAACCACTAGCAAGACTCACAAAGAAAGAGAGAGAGAGAGAACCCTAATAAACCGAATCAGAAATGAGAAGGAGGATATAACAACAGAAACCAAAGAAATTCAAAAGATCTTCAGAGACTACTTTGAAAGTCTGTATGCCACGAAACAAGAGAATCTAGAAGAAATGGATAAATTCCTGGATTTCAATAATCTCCCAAGGCTGAATCAAGAAGATCTAGAGTATCTAAATTGTCCTATTAATATAAGGGAAATTGAAATCATAATCAAAAGTCTTCCAAAAACAAAAGTCCAGGTCCAGAGTGATTCACTAGCAAATTTTTCCAGACATTTAAATAGGACCTACTGCCAGTTCTTTTCAAAATTTTACAGGAAATGGAATAAATAGAAACTATCCCAAACAGTTTCTGTGAAGCCCATATCTCTCTAATACCAAAAGGAAACAATGACACCACAAGAAAAGAAAAATACGAAACAGCCCCTAGACAGCCGGTTTTCAACCCCTGATCCGCGTGGGACGGGCACAGAGGCCCAGCTCTGGGCAACAAAGCTGAACGGCTCCAATTCCAACAGGTACAGCCCGCCCCCAAGGGCCTGGGTTCCTCTCTGGGCACGCGCAGCTAGAAACCGCCCCTAGACAGCCGGATTTCAACCCCTGATCCGCGTGGGACGGGCACAGAGGCCCAGCTCTGGGCAACAAAGCTGAACGGCTCCAATTCCAACAGGTACAGCCCGCCCCCAAGGGCCTGGGTTCCTCTCTGGGCACGCACAGCTAGAAACAGCCCCTAGACAGCCGGTTTTCAACCCCTGATCCGCGTGGGACGGGCACAGAGGCCCAGCTCTGGGCAACAAAGCTGAACGGCTCCAATTCCAACAGGTACAGCCCGCCCCCAAGGGCCTGGGTTCCTCTCTGGGCACGCACAGCTAGAAACAGCCCCTAGACAGCCGGTTTTCAACCCCTGATCCGCGTGGGACGGGCACAGAGGCCCAGCTCTGGGCAACAAAGCTGAACGGCTCCAATTCCAACAGGTACAGCCCGCCCCCAAGGGCCTGGGTTCCTCTCTGGGCACGCACAGCTAGAAACAGCCCCTAGACAGCCGGTTTTCAACCCCTGATCCGCGTGGGACGGGCACAGAGGCCCAGCTCTGGGCAACAAAGCTGAACGGCTCCAATTCCAACAGGTACAGCCCGCCCCCAAGGGCCTGGGTTCCTCTCTGGGCACGCGCAGCTAGAAACCGCCCCTAGACAGCCGGTTTTCAACCCCTGATCCGCGTGGGACGGGCACAGAGGCCCAGCTCTGGGCAACAAAGCTGAACGGCTCCAATTCCAACAGGTACAGCCCGCCCCCAAGGGCCTGGGTTCCTCTCTGGGCACGCGCAGCTAGAAACAGCCCCTAGACAGCCGGTTTTCAACCCCTGATCCGCGTGGGACGGGCACAGATGCCCAGCTCTGGGCAACAAAGCTGAACGGCTCCAATTCCAACAGGTACAGCCCGCCCCCAAGGGCCTGGGTTCCTCTCTGGGCACGCGCAGCTAGAAACAGCCCCTAGACAGCCGGTTTTCAACCCCTGATCCGCGTGGGACGGGCACAGAGGCCCAGCTCTGGGCAACAAAGCTGAACGGCTCCAATTCCAACAGGTACAGCCCGCCCCCAAGGGCCTGGGTTCCTCTCTGGGCACGCACAGCTAGAAACAGCCCCTAGACAGCCGGTTTTCAACCCCTGATCCGCGTGGGACGGGCACAGAGGCCCAGCTCTGGGCAACAAAGCTGAAAGGCTCCAATTCCAACAGGTACAGCCCGCCCCCAAGGGCCTGGGTTCCTCTCTGGGCACGCGCAGCTAGAAACAGCCCCTAGACAGCCGGTTTTCAACCCCTGATCTGCGTGGGACGGGCACAGAGGCCCAGCTCTGGGCAACAAAGCTGAACGGCTCCAATTCCAAACAGGAGACATTCCCAACTCCTCGCCCAGTGCCAGGGACTCTTTCTGGAGCCGCGGCCGCTAACGCGGCCGCGAAATATTTTCTCACTACATATGCCATAGGAACCATAAGCTAACTTTTTACATGGAAACTTCTCTATTTTAGCTCAGCCACTAGAAACACAGTTGCCAATAACTCATAAGCCTATCTTAACTCACACTGCATATCAAAGCAGAATAGTAACACTGAACGTGAAGGACTAAACCACACCTCTCACAATGGTA